TCGCCCTGCTCATGTACTCTCGCTCTCAATCGCTCTCTCTCTCTCTCAAAAAAAAAAAAAGACTGTGTATTATTGGTGAAAGAACAGATCCATGGAACACCACAGAGAGCCAGAAGTAGACCCCCATCAGTATGATCAGCTGATCTTTGACAAAGGGGCAAAGGTAACATGGTAGAGCAAAGGTGTCTCTTCAGGTCTTCATGGTGGAACCACTGAAGGAATACCATAGAGTTGTCCACATGGACGTTCACGCCTGCTTCCATCTGGAAGCAGGAGTTAGAAAAACACCTCGTGGGCCGCATGGCTGGTGTGAAGAAATATGGATGAACTTAACTGAGTACTAGGAGGTTCTTGTTGGGGTGGAATCAGCCCTTGCTGTTGGCTGGGCAATCTCAGGGGCCGAGGTCCCCGCTCTATGCAGCTCTTGATGATGATGGTGCCCCATCAGGCCACTGGACCGGGCCCTCCTGGTAGGCGTGTCCTCCGGCTGGTTAGTTTATGTCCCCTTGCCAGGCGACCCTTCCTTCGACAGACACCCTTCTGGGGATGCATGTTTGCTTTTAACAAGTCAGGGAAACGTTCTGTGCTTCTGCTCCACAATCTCAAAGCACACACGTTCTGTGAACCTTCGTGGACGCAGAACAGTTAGAAGGTAGAGCCAGTACAGCCTGTCCTCGGGAGTTCTTACTGGGGCCTCAGCTGGGACTACGACAAGGGTCAAGTCATGACCAAGCAGAGATACGGAAGTCCAGACACTTGACTCCAGAGCAGATGCCGTGGCTTCGAAACTCAGGGAACTGTGCAGTGTGGATGCAACTTGCAACTCACCTGGAGGGGGCTGCCTCCCCGAGTCGGCTTACGGCATCCGCGCAGACCCCACTCCACCGGTGAGGTCTGGGTGTCTACAGAGCACAACACCCGAACAGGTTCTTCAGCTCCAACCTGCGTCAACTTGAAACTGTATTGAGGTCATGTGCTATAATGGAGAGCACCGAACATTTACAGTCTTATACCAACAGGCCTCCAAAGCTGACGTGCAAACACAGTGCTTTGCTGAGACAGATAAAGGCTGTCCATCATTTCTCATTTCTTGAACATACAGCTGCCATCTCCCGTGACTCTGCCTTGGGCTGTCCCTGGTCACCTGCGCTGGCTCTGCCTAAGTTCATTCAGGGGAATGAACACCCCCCACCAGGGGAACGTCCTGTCCCAGCTCCTGGAGACTGAAGCCCTGTTCCTCCAGGTGCCCTCAGTGCAGACTGGCATAAAAATGTGCCCTGTGCTGGCTTCCTCCCATCTCCATCCTGACTTCCCCATCCCTTCCGAGTGTTCTGTGGTCACGAACAAAATAAACTACTTGTGTTTGAATCTTTGTCTCAGGACTAGCTCTGGAGGGAACCCAGACAAAAACGGGCACAGGACTCGAGTTAGGCAGCAACATTCTGGACGGGAAGACTTCCTTTAACATTATGCGTTAATATTCTTCCAGCCCAAATCTCACCGTGGTTTTTTAATGTACCAGCAAATGATTTGAATGTTCCTCTTGAAACAGAAATATGTGAAAGTAGCAAGGATTTCTTCTTCTTTTTTTTTTTTTTTTAAGAAAAAATTTTTACAGGAACTCTTGCCCTTCCAAGAATCCTAGCTCCTTATAAGTGATAATGTGGGACACCTGGGTGGCTCAGTCGGTTAAGCGTCTGACTCTTGATTTCATCTCAGGTCATAATCTCAGGGTCCTGGGATCGAGCCCCGCATCGGGCTCCCTGTTTCGTGGGGAGTCTGCTTCTCCCTCTCCCACTCCCCCTGCTTGTGTTCCCTCTCGCTGTGTCTCTCTCTGTCAAATAAATAAAATCTTAAAAAAAAAAAATAAAGTGATAACATTTACATAATGAAGCACTGCCATAGAAATGGCTGGACGATTCAGTAGAACAACCACAGGCTCAAGAAACAGCAAGATGAGAAGAGGTCTTTTGTTCCAAAATAATGTTGGGAGAACTGGTTTACCAACTGGGGGGATACGTTAGAACCCTATTCTCTGCGTCACTCTGATATAAATTCCAGGGGGAGTGAACATCTAAGAGTCAAAGATCTAAATGTATAAAAATGCTACAGAGAAATAGGGGCCCATGTGTCTACAGTCCTGAGTGGAGGAGACACCAAACCCAACACGGGAGAGCCCGGAGGAGGGAAGTTGGGATCGCCAGATTTGAACACCCCCAGGGGGGAGACTCTGAACATCAAGAAACAGAAATCACGGTCAAGCTGGGAGAGGAATATTGGTTGTGATGAAGCATGATTATGGTGTGTTGTCAAGTGGGGCAAGGCAGATGGCAAATAGGATATACGGTCTTACCGCCAGATGGTTAACACATTTGCGGGCGCTGGCAACATCTCGAAGGGCCATGTTGACAGCCAGTGTTGACAGCAATCTCTCCCAGATAGAATTACAGAGAAACGTTTTGCTCTTCGGAAGCTTTATCATGTTTCCTCAAGGAAGGTGTGTCAATTTGGGGAGCACTCTTAGATGGGTTCTTCACTGAGAGCCAATGTGCCTTGTGCATCCAGAGACGGACATGTGCGTGCATGCACGGAGATCAGTAGAACATCCTTAGAACATAGAATGTTCTGCTGACTGGTTCAACTGAAACATACATCTGAAGAAAGGTATCGGTCAAGGGAAGGAACGGTGTTTCATGAAAGGGAAGTATAGGCAAGACGACCTCCAAAAGCCGAAGGAGCCATGAGACCGAAGGAAAACCAGTCCAGTCTGACAAGGGATGGTCTAAGAAGGAGACTTCCAGACAGAAGCGTGTCTTGGGCAGCCGGCTGCAAGGCGAGTGGATCTCCGCAGCCCACCTCCTATAAGACCGGCTTTTATAGTCCTAGAGGCTGGGGTTCTGCTGGGGGACCCCCTGGGAGGAGATGTTGGAGGATAGGTGTGAGTCGTAGTCACATCTCCAGAGCAGATCACAGATGTTATGTCCCAAGGGTGTCCTCAAGTGTTACTACTTGTGTGGTTAAATAAAAGGAAGAATAAGGAGGGGTCTATGCCCAAGAAGACTTCAGGCAACAGAGCGGTGGCCGTGGCATTTCTGTCCAAGATGGTGTCAGGTCGGCTAGCCGAGTCGGCCAGCAGGGAGGCACAAAATAAACCCTCCAGGGGTGTGTGTTGGCCGGCACACACCTGCAGGGAAGGGGGTGCCCTGATGTCATCCAGCTAAGACCCTGGGCTGACCCCATCTCAACGAGAATTTTCCACGAGTCACTTAAATTCCTTTGTACCTTTGTCTACTGGCAGAGAAATTGTTGGTCAAAATGGCATTAACAGGTCTCTTTGTTTTTTGTAAATTGGCCACTCGTGCACTCCGTTCTCTCGAACACTCTCTCTGGGTGATTTTATCCAGTCTTATTGCTTCACACACCATCTAAACACTTGACACTCGTAACTTCATTTCCTGTCCAGACCTCTTTTGTGAGCCGCAGACTCCTATATGGAAAAGTCTACTGGACATCTCTACCGAATGATATGTGTGTGTGATACCTACAATTTAATTCCCCAGCTCTTAGTCTCCTTCATCCCCTGACCCAAAGTAGCTCTTCTTCTCAATCCATGATGATCACCAGCCCCCCAGTGGCCTCATGTCCCTTAGGTCATCATGATTCCCTGCTCATCCTCTTCCAGCAACCTCCTGACACCCACGCACACACATGCACACGCACACAAACACATATGCATGCACACATGCACGCGCGCACACACAACTCCCTTCCCTCCCCCAGCCCATCCCAAACTCTTACCATGTTCCTTGGATTTCTGCTCTTTCCTGCAAATCAGGAGAGTAGAGACAAGTTTACTCTTATCACCCGCTGATCCATTTTCCAAGGGCCAGAGTGATCTTAATGAAGACACACGAAGCTCAGGTCGGGCTTTCTAAAATCATTTCAGTGCCTTCCACTGCAGTTGGAGCAAATAAAAATTAGGAGCCATGGCTCAAAAGACCCCCTGCTTTGTACAGTCCTTACGGAGGGTAGACTTCTTTCAGGGCTTGCAGTGATCTTTCTAGCCTCGTTGCCTTCACAGATGCCCTTCCCCATAGAGTGCCCTTCCCTTGCCCCTCCCCTATGAGGATAATTACTTCTTTGGGGTCAGCTGATGTCAGGCAGCACATGGAACATTAGTATGTGGCCCTGACTTGCTCTTCCTTCTCCTTTCTTTCCTCTAATGGCTCTTGTAGAGGTTTAGAGTCTCCTCACTGTCACTCTGCTTCCATCCAGGGTCCCAGTCTTAGCCATGAACCCTGGGTCCCCAACCCACCTCCAGCCTCTCTAGGCACCCCCGGGGTGGGGAGGGGACAGAACACAGAGAGCTCTTCTCTCCTCCAGCCTGTGACAAGTGCCTCAGGCCAAGGCCATTCTGTCCTCCCTGTCTGTGCCCTGTCCTTCCATGAATGGCTTGAACACGGCCTCACGCCCCCTCGGCCCTTTGTACCTGCCGGGCCCCAAGCTCAGAGCAGCTGTAGGTACGCTAAGGAGGCCAGCCCCTGCCCCCCACTCCCAGCAAACCTCTCTAGCATGTTCTTGGTGACCCCTCGCAGCTGTGCTTTATGTCCCAATAAAATTCTCTCAACTGTGTTTTTTCTGTAAATCTGTCAAAATCTCGTCCACAGTATTGTTCCCTTAACCATCATTTCAGGAGTTGAGGAAGGAAGAGCTAGGGCGTGCAGGCTCAGTTCGGGGGCTGCAGAGAAGGCTTCCCATGGTGCGAGGTGGGAATTTACGGGATGACCTAATGAGGCTGAAAAAATGAAACTGGGGCTATTTGGGGGAAATGTGAGAATCTGGTGTCTGGCCAGTGGCAAGAAGGATCCACGCTGCTGGGACTGTAGATGAAAAGAACTGGCTTTGAAGAATGAGCTTTCCATGTAGGTTTCTCCAGATTTCCTTGACCTTTATCACCAGCAGAAATTAATGTTTAACCAGCCCAGGAGGCTGGAAAAGCAAGGACAGGGAGCCATCTGGATCTCAAGCTACAAGAGTGACCTGTCTGAACACTGCTTGGCCACGTTTTCCTCAACCCCCAGAGCCAGCGAATCTCCTGAGGGAAAATAGACTCAGAAGGAAGTAGGATTCCCAGCAAGTAAGTCCCTGGCTTCATACTTAATCAGACGGTTATTGTTGGAAACTGCAACCTTGACTCTCGGTCCCAAGGTACTGAATGTTTGCCTAATGTTAGATCACCTGAGGACTGGACATCACTATTGGTCAAGTGCTGTTAGGGCTGTTGGGGCCAGGGGGACTGACCCTAGGTGCTCACATGCACACAGTCCCGTGTGCAGCTCATGTGTGGCCAGGTAGGAGGTGCTGGGGAGGATTTCCTGCCTGTCACTCGAAAGCAAAAACAGGACAGACATGGGCATGTCTTATCCTTACCACTCGCTTCCACTGTGGTCTTGGGTCCTTTGTTCCTCTGGGTCTCTGTTTCTTTCTCTCTCCAATGGGGATTTTTCTAGCAGCCACCCTGTCAGGTAATTGTGAGGATTCAATCTCATAATGTCTGGAAAATATGTGGCACTTGAGAGGTGATAGAGAAACGGTGACTCTTCCCTTACCTGTAACATCTGGAGCATCAGATGTAAATTCAGAGTCTACCTGTGCAGTGTGATTTGAGGAGAACTGAAGGGTCTTCCCTGCCAACTTGACGCGCTGATCACAGTCCCATCAGAAGATACCATTCTTGAGAAGATCATTGCTTCTCCATCAGGCTGGAATTAAAACAATGCTTCTGAGTGTTTAGTGTGTGCTGGGATTCACCTTCTTCATCTTTAACATATCCACATTGGACACACGAGAAACTGAGTCAGGAGAGGTGAGGAGGAGAGTCGTGCAAGGCCTCCTGGCTTGTGACCATGACATTGGCACTTGGATATTGTTATGGCACAGCCTGGCTCCTGCCCTTCTCGGAAAGCATTGCACTTTTAAGGCACTTACCATGTCCTAGGCACGAGAGTAATCACATGAGCCCCTCAGAGGGCAGGGAGTGGGGTCTGGAGGGACAGGACCAGAGATGCAGGACTATTGGCAGGAGGGGGATGGGAAGTGTGGAGGTGAGGAATGTCAAGGCACAATGGGAAGGTGGCGAGGGCAGGACTGGACACAGGGTCGAAGGCTCTGGGCTTCCACGGTGGCCTGAGGGCACAGTAGGCATTATCTAGACATGTTTCCCCATGGACAGCCTTGGGGCCCCAGTGCTCCCAGTTCTGAGGGTCCCTTACCAGAGCATGCTGAACCGCTGAAGGCAGTCTGCCCTGCTCTCAGTCAGCCTAGAGAGCCAGAGTGTTGGGTCCAGGAGGTGACAAGTGGCACTCTTACTGCTGGGGTAAGTCATTCCAGGGTTTAGCCTTGCAATTGTTCTTAGGGCTCAGCTGCATGGAAATGTGGGATAGAGGAGCACCCTAGAACTCTCACTCTGGACATCCTCACAGAGTGGATAGAGACATTTTGGAACCAGGAACGTGCTGGTTGAAATTGGTGCTGCTTGAAATTTAAATTATGACTTCCAGACTTTTAGAAGTGACTAAATAGCATGTGAAGAAATACAGCCATCTGCGTGGGGTACCGTCCCTGAGCTTCACCACAGCCCAGCCTCCAGTGGCAGGAGAGAGGCTCAAGGATGCCAATCGTAGCTAGGATTGAGGAGGAACAACAGTGTGTTCACATTTAACAAGGTCATTAACAAGTAATCTATTAAAGTAGTTTATGGCTACATAAAATGATAAAAGGTTCAGTCCACCAAGAAGATGATACAGCTCTAGACATGGATAAACCTAGTGGAAGAATATAAATATACCTTAAATATATTAAGCAAATCTTGGCACAACTGTGGGGAGAGATCGACAAACTCACCATCATAATGGAAATTTTCAACACATCATTAGCGGTGATAGTAAACTGGATGATTGATCAAGGGAACAAAAATATGAGATTTGGGAAATTTCAGTAAGTAACCACCTTGGAGTATTGGACATAAATAGAACCCCTCACCAGATAGCTAGAAAATACGCTTTCTTCTCAAGTGCACGTGAAATGTGACAAAAATTGAGGATGTAACAGGCCATCGCCTAAATCTCAACACCTGTCAGAGAATCGCTATCATACCAGCGAGTTCTCTCATTCCGATTCAGGTCAATTCAATTCCATTCAGTTCAATTCAATTCTGTTCAGTTCAGTTCAATTCAGTTCAGTTCAGTTCAGATTTTTTTTTTTTTAAAGATTTTATTTATTTATTCATGAGAGACAGAGAGAGAGACAGAGGCAGAGGGAGAAGCAGGCTCCCCGCGGAGCAGGGAGCCCGATGCGGGACTCGATCCCAGGACCCTGGGATCATGACCTGAGCCGGAGGCAGACGCCTAACCGACTGAGCCACCCAGGCGTCCCCAGATTTTTTTAAAAAGTAAAAATTGCTATATATGTCTGGAGTTTTTTTTGTTTGTTTGTTTTTGTTTTTTTTGAAGAGCTACCACATAACTGACACATCAAGGAAAAAATAGAATGGAAATGAAATAATACTCAGAAATAAATGCTTATTTTAAGCTTGAGATACATATTGGAAGCAGTACATAGAAGAAAGCATGTAGGTTTAAAGACTCATATTAGAAATTGAAAAAGGACAGAAATTGAGACCACCACTCAACTAAAGGTGCTAGAAAAATAACAGAATGAGGATAATTGAACACAGCAATCATAAAGATTAAGAGGAAAAATTAATGAAAAAGAAAATAAAGGTAGATGAAGGCAGATCAACAAAGCCGAAAGGTTTTCTTTTTTAAAAGTAATAAAAGAGAAATAGTTCTGTGGCATCTGGGTGGCTCAGTTGGTTGAGCATCCCACTCTTGATCTCAGCTCAGGTCTTGATTTCAATACTAACTAAAGACCAGAAGAGAGGAAAATAAATAAATAATATTGTAAGAAAAGGGGACGTCATTAGAGGGGCGCCTGGGTGACTCAGTCAGTTCAGTGTCCAAACTCTTGGTTTCAGCTCAGGTCATGATCTCAGGGTTGTGAGATCCAGCCCCACATCAGGCTCCACACTCAGTGGGGAGTCTGCTTGGGATTCTCTCTCTCCCTCTCCCTCTGCCCCTCCCCCTGCTCATGTGCTCTCTTTCTCTAAAATAAAACTAAAAAATAAATCTTAAAAAGAAAAGGGGACATCATTATAGATTCAACCAAGCAAAATGATAATGAGTATATTATTAAAACAGACAAACCCTTGTCATTAAATGTAAAAATTGTAAATTACATTTACATTTGAAATAACAGCAAGGAGAAATAGAAATCCTACTGAATAATCCTGAATAATAAATAAATTGATTTGTTAAAAAATATTTCCTCAAACATGGGAGGAGGGGCAAATGATTTTTGTGTATGATTTGCCACACTCTCTCAGTGGCTGGGTAATTCCAAATTTCCAAATTATACAAACTGCTTCAGAGAATTAAAAGAGAAGGGATTATCCCCAGTCTATGAGATCATAGAATCTGACTCTAAAACTAGAGAAAAGCCATATTAGCAAGAAGAATTACAGTTTTATTCATGGGAAGGAAGTAAAAATTCTATGCAAATGTTTAACACACCATAGTTTTAACCCAAGAATAAAAGGGTATTTGAAAATTAGAAAATGTATTAATGACATTTATCATATTAACAATTTAGAGGAGGAAAACGATCTGATTTTCTTCTCTTTTGGTGCAGAAAATACTTTGATAAGATTAAACACCAATTTATTATAAAAGTGGGACTAGAAGAAACCTCCTAATAAAGATTTTCCAACAAAATCCTGTTATTGAGAGTGAAATGTTAGAAGCATTCTTTTCGAAGTCAACAAGATGAGGATGTTTACAACTGCTTCTGTTCAATGCCACGGAGGCCCTAGAACAATGCCAAGCACATATGGAATCTCTTTTTTTTTTTTTTTT